CAAGGCTACACCCGTTCAGCAGTGATTAGAAACGAAACTTGCAGGATATTATGCCTGGCTGAAGTTGGGGCAAACACATAAACTCAGGTGCAATAGCATACTTCAAGTTACACAAATATCCAACAGTAAAGTGTAAAAATGTAACTGGCTAAAGAGACCTAAGCACAACCTTTGGCCAATAAATGGCTTATTCAGCCTCAAGGTGACTCCTAGGGAAACAGAGTAAAAGAAAAAGTAAGCAAAGCCTGCCCTTTCATGGTTTTGTTTGCTTTCATTATTTGTGTGCAGAATTCCTTGGAGAATCTTTTGTAGTGGTGGCTTGGTGGTCATATATTGTTTTAGTTTCTGCTTATTGTGGAAGACTTTTATTGCTCCATCTATTTTGAATGATAGTTTTGCTGGGTAAAGTATGTTAGGATTGAAGTTATTTTCATTCAGTGCTTGGAAGATCTCACCCCATGCTCTTCTTGCTTTTAATGTTTCTGTTGAGAAGTCTGCTGTGATTTTGATGGATTTACCTTTATATGTTATTTGTTTTTTCTCTCTTACAGCCTTCAATATTCTTTCTCTAGTCCCTTACTTGTTGTTTTAATGATAATATGTTGTGGGGTAGTTCTATTTTGGTCAGGTCTGTTCGGTGTTCTAGAGGCTTCCTGTACCTGAATGGGCATAGCTTTCTCTAGATTTGGGAAATTTTCTGTTATTATTTTGTTGAACATATTACACATTCCTTTTGCTTGCACCTCTTTTCTTTCTTCAATACCCATGATTCTCAGGTTTGGTCTTCTGATGGAGTCAGTGAGTTCTTGCATTTTCTTTTCACAGGTCTTGAGTTGTTTACTACAGGAAGGGGCAGGAAACACTCTGGAACTAATAGGTATAGGCAAGGACTTACTCAATACAACCCCAGCAGCCCAGAAACTAAGAGAAAGGATGGACAAATGGGACTTCATAAAATTAAAAAGCTTCTGCACAACAAAAGAAATGATCTCTAAACTGAAGAGGCCAACCACAGAGTGGTAGTAAATATTTGCCAGCTACACATCAGACAAGGGACTAATAACCAGAATATACAGGGAACTTAAGAAACTAAACTCTCCTAAAATCAATGAGCCAATAAAGAAATGGGCAACTGAACTTAATAGAACTTTCTCAAAAGAAGAAATTCAAATGGCAAAAAAGCAGATGAAAAAATGCTCACCATCTCTAGTCATAAAGGAAATGCAAATCAAAACCACACTAAGATTCCACCTCACCCCTGTTAGGATAGCCATCATCAAAAACACCACCACCAACATGTGTTGGCAAGGATGTGGGGAAAAAGGAACCCTAATCTACTGCTGGTGGGAATGCAAGCTGGTACAACAATTCTGGAAAAAAATGTGGAAACTTCTTAAAAATCTAAACATAGACCTGTCATATGATCCAGCAATTCCACTCCTGGGGATATATCCAAAGGAATGCAACACAGGTTGCTCCAGAGGCACCTGCACACCCATGTTTATTGCAGCACTATTCACAATAGCCAAGTTATGGAAACAGCCAAGATGCCCCACTACTGACGAATAGATCAAGAAAATGTGGTACTTGTACACAATGGAATATTACTCAGCCATGAAGAAGAATGAAATGTTATCATTTGCAGGTAAATGGATGGAACTAGAGAACATCATTCTGAGTGAGGTCAACCAAGCTCAGAAGATCAGAAACCATATGTTCTCCCTCATATGCGGACTTTAGATCTAGGGCAAATGCAGCAATGTGGTTGGACTGGGACCACATGACAAGGGGTCTATATCACATTTGGGTGATATAGAAATAGGCAGAAAATCCAAAACATGAAAGCATTTGATGTTCCCACTCCAGAGGAACTAATACAGAAACCTTTAAGCAACAGAGATTATCATGAGAAGGGAATCAGTAACCAGGGTAAAGATAAGTTAGAGATGAATCAACATGGGTCATATCATGTGTACACGAAAGCAATGCTAGGAATATTTCTGTATAGCTATCCTCAACTCAACTAGCAAAAACACTTTGTCTTCCTTATTAGGCTTGTCTCTTTTCTTCAACAAAACTAGTGATAAAGGCAGAACAGGACCTGCCTGGAACTGAGGAGTGCAGGGGAGAGAGGGTGGGGAAAGGGGGCAAGGGGGAGAAATGACCCAAACAATGTATGCACATGTGAATAAAATAATAATTAAAAAAAAAGAAAAAGTAAGCAAAAATAAAACAATCTAAACAGGGAAACAGAAGCTATACACTGTGGGAGAAATAGACTTCACTTAGTTCAGCAAGTTATTAAATAAATAAATAGTCAAACTAACCAAAAAAAAAACTATCATCAACTTCTAATAAATCTACCCATGGTGGGGGTTATAGAAATCACTAAACAGAGTTTCTATAATATATTATTTAAAATATTCATTTTCAACTAAAAATTATATAACATGAAGACAAACAAGAAAGTGTGACCCATACAGAAGAAAAAGGTAGGCACTAGAAAATGCCTTTGAGAGAGCCCAATGTAGGACATAGCAGACAAAGATTTCAAAGCAGCTATTATAAATATGTTCAAAGAATTAAAGGCAATACTAAAAGTAATACTCACATAAGTAAAGGTAGTCATGATAACAATGTTTCATCAAATGGAGAACATCAATAAAAAAATAAAAATGATTTTTAAAAGAGGAAATGGAAATTCTCTAGAGTTGATAAACATAATGACTGAAAAAGAAAACTTCTGTACAGATCTTTGGAACTTTGTCTTGAGCAATGTTGGAGTTGTTGAGACTTTGGGAATTCTTGGAGATAGACTAAATGCATTTTGCAATATGGAATGACTATGAGCCTTTGTGGACCAGAGGTAGAATTTCATGGTTTGGATATGAAGTATCACCCCAAAAAGTTCATGTGTTAGGAGCTTGGTCTCTAGCTGGTGGAGTTATTTTGAGAGATTTGGGGAACTTCAGGAGGTAAGACAGCTGGAAGGTCACTGGGCACAGGTCCTTGGGGTTGATTGTCCCTAACCCCTTCCTATAACTCTTTCTGCTTCCTGTCTGCCATGAGGTGAATAGCTCTCCTCCACCACACACTCCTACCACCATAATGTTCTGCCAAAACCTATGGGGCCAAGAAACCATAGACTACCCTCTCTGAAACCATGAGCAGAAAAAAAAAATAGTGACAAAACAATCCATAGAATTGTAGAGAACATATATATCTGGGAAGGGACTTGAATCCAAAATACATAAAAGAGCTTTTACAACTCAGTAAATAATCATTAAAACAAATAGTCCAATTAAAAAGCAGGAAAATAATTTGAATATACATTTTTCCAAAATACACATACAAATAGCCATTAAAAATGTGGGAGGATGCTCAATCATTTCTCTTTAGTAGAATGCAAATCAAGACTACAATGAGATATATTTCACACTATAGGATAGCTATAACTAAAAAGAGAGATAAAAACAAGTGTTCACAAGTAAATGGAAAAATATACTTGTATATTTTTGTATATGCATGTAAATATAAAGTAGTGCAGTTGCTTCAAAAACAAGTTTTTCAGTACCTCAAAAAATAAATACAGAATTACCAAATGACCCAAAGTCTACCCTTTGGTATAGACTCAAGAGAAATAAGAACATATGTTCAGAAAAACTTGTGCATAAATGCTTATATAATAGTCATAATAGTCAATAGAAAAATTACTAAAAATGTCCATCAACTGATGAAAATATAAAAAGGTGGTACATCCATAAAATGAAATACCATTCAGAAATAAAAAAAGAATAAAACACTGATACATGACATGGCATAGGTGAACCTGGAAAGTATAATGTTACATAAAAGAAGCCAGCCACAAAACATCTCAGAGTATATTCTTCCATTCAAGCAGGAAGCCCTGCGTTTAAACTCCAGGACTGCCCCCCTTTAAAAAGTGGCTCCTAATGGGTATGGGGTTTGGGAGGGGATAACGAAAATGGACTACTATTGCATTGTGTTATACAACCTACATGTTCCTCAACTCTATGAATGCACTGAAAACCACCAAATTGTGCACGTTAAATGCATGTGAACATGGTAGTACTCAATAAATACTTAAAAAGATGGACTATCTGCTTTTCTACTGGGTCTTTCAAAAGAATAGAAACTAACTCCTCTGCCACAGGAAATTAGTCCGTGCATACATTCAAGACTGACTGATAACTCACTGTTAGATGGTTATATATCCCTCACCAACATTACATTGTTGGATAATGCTGAGCCCAGGTACTGATAAGTAAAGGGAGATCTTGCAAATGATAATCCTTAATTAGAGGCCCCCAGGTTCTATAAAAATAATAAGCTCAAATCAATTCAGTTTGCAAGCTTCTGTTTCCAATATCACTAAATTTTACATATTGAGGCCACTTGTACCCTATTTACATATATTTTGTACCCTATTTACATATATTTAAATTCTCCATGGAATGATATTAATTTTATACTAGATAACAATTATTAGGTGTTAGGGCTGATAAATATCATGGACCAGTAACTATGCATCCTACATTTAAAAAGTGACCCTACACAGGCCAGGCATGGTGGTGCACACTTGTTTTCCCAGCTGTGAGGAAGGCACTGTTAGACTATGGTCTAAGGAGAGGCCTGAGGGGAAAAAAGTGAGATCCTATCTGAAAAATAACAAAAGCACAAAGTGTTAGAGCAAGTACAAGGCCCTGAGTTCAAACCTCAGTACCACCAATAAACAAATAAATAAATAAGGACCCTATACAATCAGTTTTCTTTCAGAAAAGAAATAGAGGTAAGAAAGTCCCGGGAAGAAGGAAGAAAAAAGACATAACAGTAGAGAATTCATTCAGCCAACAGAATGAGAAATTATATTTTCCTTTCTGCCATCCAAATTATAATAGGAATCAGGCATCTTGCAATAAATTATGCCAAGTGGCATTAGTTGTATAAAGTATACAGAAAATTGAAAAGACAAGCAGTACCTTCCGGGGGAGTCCCAATGCTGCTGCCAAGACCCAAAATAGCCATCTTGTGAATTCTCGGAGCCAGCATCAAAGCAGATTCTTCTCCCCTCTCCCAGTGGGGTATTTTGACTGGTTCCAGGTGGACATTATCCAGCCCATCGTCCTGCAGGTTTTGGTACATGATTTCGATGGCTTTTTCTAGGTTCTTGGAGCCACTCAGTCTGGGTCCCACAGTATCAACCAGAAGTGCCAATCGCTCATAAGACCGGTTCTGGGCTCTACCATAAACAGCAAGATCAATAATTCTTTTAGCAACGTCTTCATAGCTGGCTATTTCTTCCTTTATTTCTCGAAAAGTTCTCGGAGAGATGTCATTCTTGTGTATAGCTTTCCCAGAGCCCAGGGATAAAAGGGGAACAACTCCAACAAATGTGAAGATAAGGAACTTCATTTTTTTTCCAGCTGATTTTCTTCCTAGGATAATTGATGTAAGAAACATTAATTTTGGGAGAAATAAACTCACAGTCATCTACCCACAACCCAGGGCCTGCTTTTCAAGCATCATTCCCTTTCCTTTTCCAACCATAACTCAACCTCTCCCATCATATTCAGGTTCCATAACTCCCAGCGTGATGAACAAAGAGGCAGTGATTGGCCTTATTAATAGGACATTATGTATTAAAACCACCAGATCACCTGTTGCCTAGCAATCATGCTTACTAAAAGATTAAAATAAGAAGAAAAATAGAAAGGGGAGAACAAAGCAGTGGTTGCAGTAATAAGGCCAACAATGTGATGTGCTGTTCCTCTTTAAATAGAGCTCGATCCAAATGGGTGTCAGTGCTCCCTCTGTTTGATATGCTGTTTCCTCTTTGTCCAACTTGTCCTTTGAGGCCCTCTTAGAAGTCATCTTTTCTCAATGATTTCTCTAATCTGCTTTCCACTAAAAATAATTTCTTCTTCATCTGTGCTCCAAGACTATTTTATGTTTATGGCCAAAACTACTTATTGGATGCCAACTCTGTATCAGGAACTGTGGTATGCTTTTAAAGGAAGACATCTAAGCTAATCAGAGAATTAATAATGATAATAATAAACGCACTTTTTGCATTTAATTCTATCATATACATTACTACACGATCATAATGATAATAACATTAATGCACTTATGTATTCATAATGCCGTGTGTCAGACATTGTTCTAAGTACATTGTATTCATTAATGTACTTAATCTTCATAATCACCCAATTATAGGAGGTAGTTTCTTATTATTACCTTTATTTTACAAATGAGGAACTAAGGCACCAGCACTGGGCAATTAAGTAACTGATGGTCACAAAAAGGCTTTCCATTTTTAGAATCTATGCCATAATCAGTGCTACTCAAAGTATGGCTTGCAGACCAATGCCAGTCCACAAGCTGGTTTACTAGAGTACAATAGGTAAATGCAAATTGTATCTAGTGTTACCCAATATAGTAGTCAATAGTCTTACGTGCTTACTTCTATTTAAATTAATTAATATTAAATAACATTAAAAATTCATTTCCTTAGCAAACCAGTCACATTTCTAGTGGCTACCATGTTGTACAGCACAGACAGAACATTTCTACGTTACAGGAAGTTCTAGTGAGTAACACGGGTCTAGACCTTTTATAAATTGTTTATCCCCCTCCAAACACATATTGAAATTTAGTTGGCATTGTGACAATATTGAGAGCTGAGACCTTAGGAGATGTTCAGATCATGAGGGCTCCACCCTCACAACCAAACTAATGCCGGTATCATAAGAGTGGATTATTATTGTGAGAGTGCTTTTACCCTCTTTCTCTCTCTCTCTCTCTCTCTCTCTCTCTCTCTCTCTCTCTCTCTCCCCTCCCGCTCCTGCCCTTCTGCCAGGAGACACTTTCCATCACGTTGTAACACAATAAGAAGGCCATCATCAAAAGTGGCTCCTTGGACTTGGATTTCTCAGCCTCCAAAATAGTGAGCCAATAAATTTCCATTTATTACAAGTTATCTAGTCTATGATAGTATATGATAGCACAATATGGATAAAGACAACACTTGTCAAATCCAATGTGTTTTTATTTCATTTTTCTAGTTCATTATTATTGTATTTTGCCAAAGCATTAGTCCACAACAAATTCAAAATTTAACAAACTGATCTTGCATCACAGGTAATTTCAGAAACACGGTCATGAACTATTACACTGGAAGGATAAATTTCATGTTTAACAATAGAAGATAAAAAATGATGCCAATAACTACTTCAACCTTCTCTCTCTCTCTCTCTCTTTCTCTCTCTCTCTCTCTCTCATAAACACATACTACACAATTTCTAAGCTTCTATATATTGAGCACTTGAAATGTGGCTAGCTCAAATTGAGATACTTGATTTTTTAAGTGTTAAATATACAACTAATTTGATTTTAAAGAGTTAAGTATAAAAACATAAATATTTCTGATACAATAGATTAAGCAAAATGCATTATTCATTTCACCTATTTCTTTTTACTTTTTAATATCACTCAGGAAAATTTTAATCTCTACATGTTAGCTTCTTTGGGGTATTACAGTACTGTAGGAGTAAGAACTTGATAACACACTTAAAATATGTTAAACAATTATGAAAACCACGCACTGCTACTGCTCTCCTTCTTTTTTATAACTCTTTACATTCATAGCTCCTTGGTTCCTATAATCACCATACCATAGTTTGTTTTTAAGGGCTAAATTTTGTGAAGCAATCAAAATGTTTCACCAGTCTAAAAATATTCTTGAAAGTACATTTTTCCACTGTGTTATTGGGGCAAAAACAAAAACAAGACGGAAGAAAAGTCCATTAACACTAATCACAAGTATCCTCTTCTCATTAAAAATTCCCTAAGCATTCTGCAAGCATTAATTAACTGTTTCATAATACATTTCTAGTAATGGATTAGAACATAAAATGACAACACTGGAGCTAAAGGAACTTAGGGGTTCCTAGTCCACACCCTTGTTTTATAGAAAGTTAATCATGATCTACTATGATTCCCAAGCAACAGATAAACTATCAACAAGGTAACCGAACTGACTGATACAGACTTCCTGGAGGATTGCACATTTTTAATAGGAAATTATATGCATTTACATATAACAAAAACTCAATGCAGGCTAAGAAGCAAGTAACTAATAAAATATGTGTGTTCCAAGTGACTCACACATAAGAGTACCATGGGAACACAGAGAGGAACAAAGGACATCATGAAAAGCTAGCAAAAAGATGAGACATCGAAGACAGCCTCAAGGAACAGTGGCTCAGCAGGCATAGGAGAGAGAATGATGCTCTCCCAGAGGGACCAATGGAATGTCACCCTGTATCACAATCCAGTTAAAAGATATGTTCAGAATGTAACAGGACTTAAGTCTATCGCTTTTACATCCTTTGCATGTATATTATTTGGATTAATAAATAACATAACATGTCCTTTAATAATAATATCAACATGATCAGTTAAATTAATTTTGACACTAAAATGGTATAATTACTTTAAAACAGAACTTGATACTTGTGTTTTTCTGAATGCTTCCATTAGTATGTATCTTTATTTTTAATTCTGATTTCCAGATTCTGAATTTATTCCAAGAGAATAAATGAGTGCTTTTTAAAATTTTTTCTTTTTTATTATATTATTGTTGTATTGGGGGCACATTATGACATTTACAAAAGTTCTTACAATATATCATAGTTGAATATGGTATCATCTCCTTCATCCCTCCCTCCTCCATTCCTGGAATAGTTTCCACAGGTTTTATTTTTCCATTTACATACATGTGTACATATAGTTCCACCAAAATCACTCTCCTTTACCCTTTCCTTATATCCTTCCCCTCCCACTGGTACCAACCCCCCAGACAGGACTTGTTTTATCTGTCTTTTTTTGATAAAAGGCATTTTTGTTTGTTTAAGATAGCTATAGAGGGAGTTTCCTTTAAATCCTACAAATTCAAAAATGCTAATTTTAAAGCAGGTTAATTTAAAAGATGAAGGCTTGTTGTATTACAAAGAACCACTTTTTCCCTAAGTATAGCAACAGCACTTAGAAGATGTACTAAGACTAAAGTCACAAAAAAAGAACTCCATGAGAAATCACCTAGAATGCCTGACGTAGGTCATAGTAAATGCATGTTAGTTCATCCAAAACCTAGTTTTCTCTGGAACATAATTTGAACAGAGTACTACAGAAACTTTTATTATTGTTTTTAGAAAATGATATTAGTCCAATTAAGATATTTGTTATTAATAAAGAGCAGAAATAATAATTATCTTTGGAGATGTAAAAAATTGGAATGAGGTATTGATACACCATGTTCCACTTTAAATATATATATAATGTAGTTTAAAATGTTAGAGCTATGGCCCAATATTTAATTTATACAATCTAACCAATAAATATATAGTTATCATAAAAATTTAAATAATGAAATTTACAGAGGCTGAATAAAGACCAATAGTCAAGGGCAACTTAAAGAAACAGATTTGGGATCACCCTATATCAGGATGCACATTCTAGACCTAGAATGAGCAAAGGAGAAGGACGAACAGGGCGTAGTTTATTTGCATGAAATGATGGAAAACACTAGCCCTGCTTCACATGAAAAGTCTAGGCCATAAGTAGACATACTTTAAGCAGGGTTTGGATAAGATGGATACAGATTTACTCACAAACCTTTCAATATTTGTACTATACCAAGGGACAGTCCTAGAAGCTCGGGGATAATTTTAGAAAAAATTAAAATGCCCAACTTTTGGCAAGGATGCGGGGAAAAAGGAACCCTCTTACACTGCTGGTGGGAATGTAAACTAGTACAACCACTCTGGAAAAAAATTTGGAAGCTACTTAAAAAGCTAAACATTGATCTACCATTTGATCCAGCAATACCACTCTTGGGGATACACCCAAAAGACTGTGACACAGGTTATTCCAGAGGCACCTGCACACCCATGTTTATTGCAGCACTATTCACAATAGCCAAGTTATGGAAACAGTCAAGAAACCCCACCACTGACGAATGGATTAAGAAAATGTGGTATCTATACACAATGGAATTTTATGCAGCCATGAAGAAGAACGAAATGTTATCATTCGCCGGTAAATGGATGGAATTGGAGAACATCATTCTGAGTAAGGTTAGCCTGGCCCAAAAGACCAAAAATCGTATGTTCTCCCTCATATGCGGACATTAGATCAAGGGCAAATACAACAAGGGGATTGGACTTTGAGCACATGATAAAAGCGAGAGCACACAAGGGAGGGGTGAGGATAGGTAAGACACCTAAAAAATTAGCTAGCATTTGTTGCCCTTAACACAGAGAAACGAAAGCAGATACCTTAAAAGCAACTGAGGCCAATAGGAAAAGGGGACCAGGAACTAGAGAAAAGGTTAGATCAAAAAGAATTAACCTAGAAGGTAACACCCACGGCACAGGAAA